TGTCCTCTGGACTATTGGCTATCCCTCCCAATTTGGTGTCATCTGCAAACTTGATGATCATGCCTTCTAGCCCTTCATCTAAGTCATTAATAAAGATGTTGAACAGGACCGGGCCCAGGACGGAACCCTGCTGATGGCACTCCGCTCGTCACTTCTTTCCAGGATGAAGAGGAAGCATTGGTGAGCACCCTCTGGGTTCGTCCATTTAACCAATTACTGATCCACCTCACCGTAGTTTTGCCGAGCCCACATTGGACTAGTTTGTTTGCAATCACAATACACATACATACACGGCAAACATTCAATGCTGCTTTTGTATAGACAATACACAGGCAGAACAAAAGGAAGTGTTGTTTCGACTCAATCCAGCTGTTTTTGTGCCATGGGCTTGAATCCAGCCACAGGGGGTTCTGTTTCTTCATCCTCTATGACAAAGAGCTGTCAGGATTTCCTCCTTCCCTTTGGTCACCCATCGTTTTCTGATCTTCTTTCTTTATGGCGTCATAAAACACCTCCCCAACTTTTTTAGCGGTACCTAATTTCTCTAATTACAGCTAAATCTGTTTTCGAACTGCTTAGGTAATCAGTGAGCAGGGCTGACAGTCGGTCGCTCATGCCTACCTGAGGCTTCGAACTTTCAACCTTTCGGTTGATAGATCTTGTAATTGCTGGTGATTTACCAGCTGTGCTAAATCTCCGACCCTGGATATTTTGATGTTAAGATCTAGGAAGGACATGAAAAAAGCCAGATGACAGTGAGCTGATTTACACAGGGAGGTGATCTTAATATTTGAACTGGAGCTGATAATTAACACTCCTGTCATTCGCTAAAGGCAATCAGCCATTGTTTATTACTTCTAACATTTAAATCAAAGCTCGGAGCAAAGTTCTTGGACTATGAACTCTTGCTCTACAGCTACTCAGGGAAAAAGAGCCCCGCCTCATTTATTCATTTATTTATGTGCCAGAGATGTATTGACCCGAGGCTTGTCTAAGCTTGAATGAAGCCTTTATTTAGATATGGATCTTTCAGAGCTTGCACAAAGCAGAAATCCTCTGCTACATCTCAAGGGAAAGGATTAAATACAACAGGCTAGTGGTCAGGATGCTGGGTGTTGCAGTCAAAGCAACATCAGGAGGGCTCCTAGTCATAATTTCAGAGCCTTTCATTTGCTCTTAGATATACAAGTTATAATTTTGTGTTCAGATGTGGGTTCCATCTCCGAGATATCTCATTATGAATATTGAAGTCTTCCAAAATCCAAACCCCCCCCCCAAAAAAAACCCTCAGCCAAGACACCTCAGATTTTGAGGGCATCTATACTTACTTAGAAATTCTCTCATTGTCCGAGTAGGATTGTCTTCCAAGATTGGTGTCCTAGTGGTGGGTCCATAGGTGACTGTGGAGCCCTATTCTTGATCTGCATGTTCTCCTGCAGTAAGGGCATTGGTTTCCAGGTGGAAGGCTTGACACACCTTCGGGGTTGACTTGACGCACCTTCCTCTTGGCACGTTTCTCTCTTTCGCTCTCCATTAGTGCCTCTTCAAATCCTACAGCACTCCTGGTCACAGCTGACTTCCATCTGGAGTGCTCAAGGGCCAGGGCTTCCCAGTTCTCAGTGTTTATGCCACAGTTTTTAAGGTTGGCTTTGAGCCCATCTTTAAATCTCTTTTCCTGCCCACCAACATTCCGTTTTCAGTTCTTGAGTTCGGAGGAGAGCAACTGCTTTGGGAGACGGTGGTCGGGCATCCGGACAACATGGCCAGTCCCAAGAAATTTGCAGGATTTTCCGGAGGCACCACTGATGAAGAGAGTGTTTGAGAATCGGGACATCCATAGGGATACCAAGGTGCTTGTTTATAAAGCGATTGTCCTCCCAACTCTGGTATATGCCTGCGAGACGTAGTCTGTCTACAGACGTCACATGCAACTCCTGGAAGACAAGCGGACAAATGTCAGCGTGCTGGAAGAAGCAAAGACCACCAGCATTGAAGCAATGGTCCTCTGCCATCAACTCAGCTGGACCGGCTACGTTGTCCAGATGCCTGACCACCGTCTCCCAAAGCAGTTGCTCTACTCCGAACTCGAGAACGGAAAAGGGAATGTTGGTGGACAGGAAAAGAGATTTAAAGATGGGCTCAAAGCCAACCTTAAAAACTCTGGCATAGACACTGAGAACTGGGAACTGTGACCAGCAGTGCTGCAGAATTTGAAGAGGCACGAATGGAGGGCGAAAGAGAGAAACGTGCCAAGAGGAAGGCACGTCAAGCCAATCCTGACCGAGACCGCCTTCCAGCTGGAAACCAATGCCCTCATTGTGGGAGACGATGCAGATCAAGAATAGGGCTCCACAGTCACCTACGGACCCAACCTGGAGGATTATCCTACTCAGACAATGAGGGATCACCTAAGTAAGTAATTTTACAGCAGACATAGGTAAACTTGGGCCCTCCAGGTGTTTTGGACTTCAACTCCCACAATTCCACGCTTGTCATAGGTTCGCCATCATGGGCATAGACACTGAGAACTGGGAAGCCCTGGCCCTTGAGCACTCCAGCTGGAGGTCAGCTGTGACCAGCAGTGCTGTAGAATTTGAAGAGGCACGAATGGAGGGTGAAAGAGAGAAACGTGCCAAGAGGAAGGCGCGTCAAGCCAACCCCGACCGGGACCGCCTTCCACCTGGAAACCAATGCCCTTACTGTAGATCAAGAATAGGACTCCACAGTCACCTATGGACCCAACCTGGAGGATTATCCTACTCGGACAACGAGGGATCACCTATGTAAGTAAGTAATTTTACAGCAGACATAGGAAAACTTGGGCCCTCCAGGTGTTTTGGACTTCAACTCCCACAATTCCGGCTGTTAGGAGTTGTGGGAGTTGAAGTCCAAAACACCTGGAGGGCCCAAGTTTGCCCGTGCCTGTTCTACAGTGTATTTATTTATTTATTTAGAACTTTTATATACTGGTCTTCTCACCTCCAGCGAGGGACTCAGGCCGGTTTACAAGAAATTCATACACAGTAGTTTAAAAACATCACATCCAATAATACACTAATATAAACACATTAAAGTACTATCATATAATTATATAAGGCCAAATCGTTAACATAAAATCACTATTCATCCCTATTTATTATTTATTTATTTGCTTTATTTCTATACCGCATTTTTCAGCCTAATTAGGCGACTCAATGCGGTTTACACAATGCAGGTTATCACAACAATAAACAGTTAAAAACATATCATACACAACAACAAAATCAACAATTATTATCAATTCATGACGCCTCGATAACAGAACAAAATCCATTCTCATAATCCTTGTGCCATTCCTATGTTCAATTTTCCCGTCTTCCTGTGTTCAGTTGCACTGTTTAGCCAAACGCTTGCTCGTAGAGCCAAGTCTTAACCTTCCTCCGGAATGCCAACAGCGAAGGGGCCTGTCTGATGTCTACAGGTAGGGCATTCCATAGCCGAGGGGCCACCACCGAGAAGGCCCTGTCCCTCGTCCCCGCCAACCATGCCTGTGACGCAAGCGGGACCAAGAGCAGGGCCTCCCCGGACGATCTTAATGTCCGCGTCGGTTCATAGGTGGAGATGCGTTCGGAGAGGTAAGTGGGGCCGTGTGGTCAAGAGTTATTGTCTCACTCATCAAATGCCAAATTCCAGAGCCAGGTTTTCACCAACTTTCTAAAGGTCAGGAGGGAAGGGGCAGTTCTAATTGCCACGGTAGTCCACGCTCTTGTTACATCCCGCCTCGACTACTGCAACGCTCTCTACGTGGGGTTGCCTTTGAAGACGGCCCGGAAGCTCCAGCTAGTCCAGCGCTCGGCAGCCATGATACTAACAGGAGCGGAGCGCAGGGAGCATACAACTCCTCTGCTGCACCAGCTCCACTGGCTGCCGATTTGCTACCGGGCTCAATTCAAAGTGCTGGCATTGGCCTATAAAGCCCTAAACGGTTCTGGCCCAAGCTACCTATCCGAACGTATCTCTGCCTATGAACCCACCAGGACTCTAAGATCTTCTGGGGAGGCCCTGCTCTCGATCCCGCCTGCATCACAAGCATGGCTGGCGGGGACGAGAGACAGGGCCTTCTCTGTGGTGGCCCCTCGGTTGTGGAACGCCCTTCCCATGGACATAAGATCAGCTCTGACGTTAATGGCGTTTCGAAGAAAATTAAAAACCTGGCTGTTCGAACAGGCATTCAGATAAACAGTGCAATGAATACGATGAATATAGGAACGGAATTATAGACGACGAGTTGGATCACGATTCTAGTTACGAGACGCTATTGTGTTGTTATTGATGTGCCATTACTGTATATTATGCTCTCATGGTTTTAAATTGTTATTGCTATTTTAATATGACTGTCTTTTTGCTCTTTTTGTCTTTGTGCTCTGTTGTGAACCGCGTTGAGTCGCCTACGGGCTGAGAAACTGCGGTATACAAGCAAAGTAAATAAATAAATAAATAAATGGGAGCGAGTTCTAGAGCCGAGGCGCCACCACCGAGAAGGCCCTGTCCCTCATCCCCACCAGACGCGATTGCGAGGGTGGTGGGACCGAAAGCAGGGCCCTTCCAGACGATCTTAACAACCTTGATGGTTCATAGGGGAGAATCCGTTCGGACAGGTAAACTGTAGTGTAAAGTGTAGACTAGTTTTTCCTCAAACTCTGGCCTTCCAGGTGTTTTGGACTTCAACTCCCAGAATCCTTAATCATTGACCGAGGTAGGTGAAGCTCCTGGGAGTTGAAGTCCAAAGGAGTTTGGGCATCATAGGGCTTAGTTAGAGGGGGACCAGCTTCAGTGTGGGCTACTGCGCAAGCGCTAGCAGTCTGACGCATGCGCACTGGCTCTCCCTCCCTCCTTCCCTCAGCGCCGCCTCGTCAGCCGAGCGAAGAGAAGGGAAGGGAAAGGTGCGGGCGATGGAGCGGCGGGCCTGCTCGGGTGGTGGCCGCGGCGAGGAGCACGGCGGGCCGTGAAGGCCGCGGAGGAGGAGGAGGAGGAGGAGGCCGGCGGAGGAGATGGCCACCACCCAGGCCCCGCGCGGCGCCGAGCCTGGGGAGGCCGAGCGGCTCTCGGAGGGCGACGAGGATGGAGGGACCGCCGGGCTCCTCAGCGGCTGCGTGCCCCTCTCCCACCAGGTGGCCGGGCACATGTATGGCAAGGACAAGGGCGGTGAGTGAGGGGACGGACCTTTCCTGCACTCCCCCCCCCCCCCGAGAAGTGTTGGTTTCTCCCGTCCTCGGCTTCTGAGGGGGGCCAAGGCTGCTCCAAAGTTGCGGGGCGGGGGGAGACTTAGGATTGCATGACTCCTCTCCTCCTGCTTCTCCTCCWCATCTTTCTAGCCCTGGCCAAGTTTATTGGAGAATCCATTTGAAGGGTGGCTTTGGCTCTTCCACACAGCTGTGTAAAGCCCCCATTGAACTGGATTATATGGCAGTGTGGATTTACATAACTCAGGGCCCTTCCACGCAGCCCTATATCCCATAATAATAATAATAATAATAATAATAATTAATATAATCTATATAAATAAAAATGTATATAAATAAAAATGTAATGTGCGTTTGTGGGATTAACATAACTCAAAAACCACTGGACAAATTGACACCAAATTTGGACACAAGACACCTCTCAGGCCAATGAGTGTCCATCACCCCTAAAAACACACAAAAAAACCCAGCAGAACAGACATAACCCCCCCCCCCAATAAACTCTATATACATATACACATGCATACATACATACATACATACACACACACACACATATATACACAAGTACATACTGTAACGCCCTCTACATTGGCCTTCCTCTGTCGGTGATCCGGAAGCTCAAGTTGGTACAAAACGCAGCTGCTCGGCTTCTTGCGGGAATTCCGATGAGATGCCACATAACACCAATCTTACTACAGCTGCATTGGTTACCAATTGAGCACCGGATCACTTTCAAAGTGATGGTACTCACCTTTAAGGCCTTGCATGGTCTGGGGCCAATGTATCTGAGGGACCGCCTCACCCCCTACCAACCCCAGAGATCCCTCCGTTCTGAGGACCAAGATCTATTGGAAGTTCCCAGTGTCAAGACCTTGCGTCTAACGGCAACCAGACGCAGAGCCTTTACAGCAGTGGCGCCATCAGTCTGGAATGCTCTGCCACCTGAAGTTCGTGCCCTGCGGGACTTACCAGCTTTCCGCAGGGCATGTAAGACATACCTGTTCCGACAGGCTTTTAATGTTTGATACTGTTGTTTTTAAATTGTTTTAAATTGCTTTTAAACTTTGTTAGATTTTAGCTATTCTTGTAAGCCGCTCCGAGCCCCAGGGGAGTGGTGGCATATAAGTTTAAATAATAAATAAATAAATAAATAAATAAAACGATCTGACTCACAGGCACGGCTGGCGGGGACGAGAGATAGGGCCTTCTCGGTGGTGGCTCCTCGGCTGTGGAACACCCTTCCCGTGGACATCAGACTAGCTCCCTCCCTGATGATATTCCGCAGGAAATTAAAGACCTGGCTGTTTAAGAAGGCGTTTGAACAAGAAGTGCAATGATTGGTAATTGACCATAGGAATGGAACAACGGAAAATGATACTGGATTGTGGTTTTGACGATGAGACGACACGGAATGGCTTTTGTAGTAATGATGATGTTTTTGATGAGGATGTTTTTTGATAATGATGAACTGTGGATTATTTTATATTGTGTCTTATATTTTGCACCTTGTTCTTTCTATGTTGTACATTGCTGTGAGTCGCCCCTGGGCTGAGAACTGCGGTATATAAGCAAAGTAAATAAATAAATAAATGCACACATACACACATATATATACACAAGCACACACATATACTCAATATGCATATACACATATAAACACAGAAATACACAAATATACACACACGTATACACACATATACACACACACATATACACATGCACACATACACACATATATATACACAAGCACACACATATACTCAATATGCATATACACATATAAACATAAATATACACACACGTATACACACATATACACACACACATATGCGCACACACATATACACCTATCTATCTATATCTATCTATATATGCAAACACACATATATACACACACGCATAAACACATATATACACACACAAAACATATACACAGACTGGGCCACAGCAACGCGTGGCAGGGGACGGCTAGTCTATATAAATAAAAATGTAATGTGCGTTTGTGGGATTAACATAACTCAAAAACCACTGGACGAATTGCTGCCAAATTTGACCACAAGATTACTAACCCAAGGAGTGATCATCACTCAAAAAATTGGATTTGGCATTTGGGAGTTGTAGTTGCAGGGATTCATAGTACACCTACAATCAATGAGCATTCTGAACTCTACCAATTATGGAACTGAACCAAAACTTTAAGGTAGGGGCTTTCCTAATGTCACCGGGCAATGAGTTCCAGAGTCGGGGAGCCACAGAAGAGAAGGCTCTCTCCCTTGTACCCACAAGGCAAGCCTGAGAAACTGGCAAGGGCGAAAGGAGGGCCTCCCCTGAAGATTGAAGAGCTCGGGCTGATTCATTGGGAGAGATATGGTCCTGGCACACAGGACTCCCATGACCAACAGAAACACTAGAAGTGTTTAGTGGGCATTAGTGGGCATTGACCTTGAGTTTGGGAGTTGTAGTTCATTTACATCCAGAGAGCACTGTGGACTCAAACAATGATGGATATGGACCAAACTTGGCACAAATATTCCATATGCCCAAATATGAACACAGATGGAGTTTGAGGGAAATAGACCTTGACATTTGGGAGTTGTAGTTGAACTGGGGTCCCTTCCACATAGCCCTATATCCCAGAATATCAAGACAGAAAATCCCACATTATCAGAGTGTGGACTTAGGTAACCCAGTTCAAAGCAGATCTTGTGGGATTTTCTGCCTTGATATTCTGGGATATAGGGCTGTGTGAAAGGGCCCCCAGTTCAACGCAGATATTGCAGGTTATCCGCCTTGATATTCTGGGTTATATGGCCATGTGGAATGGCCCAAGGTCTTCCAGCACAACTCCATGGTCAATTTCTGACAGGTTAGTTATGGAATTATGATGGAAGATTTGCAAATGCCTAGAGGCAATGGTTCTCAACCTGGGTTCCCCAGATGTTTTTGGCCTTCAACTCCCAGAAATCCTAACAGCTGGTAAACTGGCTGGGATTTCTGGGAGTTGTAGGCCAGGTTGGGAACCACTGGCCTAAAGAATCTCTAGGGGCACTTCCACACAGCCATGGGCTCTTCCAGGGCCCTTCCGCATGGCCCTATATCCCAGAATATCAAGGCAGAAATTCCCACAATATTTGCTTTGAACTGGGTTAGCCGAGGGATTTCCTGCCTTGATATTCTTGGATATAGGGCTGTGCAGAAGGGCCCTGGAAGAGCCCATGGCTGTGTGGAAGTGCCCCTAGGGACTCTCTAGGCATTTGCACAGCTGTATAATACCGAAATGGAGCTGGATTATATGGCAGTGTGGCCTCATCCATCTGTAGCTCCCAGGATTGCATGGCATTGAGGTGTGATAGTTAAAAGTGGTGCCAAATTGCACCACTTTTTATATCCCACTTTTTCTCTCCATATGGAGACCCAGGGCCCTCTCACACAGCCATATAACCCCTAATATCAAGGCAGATAATCCACAATATCTGCTTTGAACTGGGTTATCTGATTCCACGCTGCCGTATAATCCAGTTCAATGTGGATTTTTTTACAGTTGTTGGAAGAGTCCCCTGGTCAAAGCAGATATTGTGGGAATTTTCTGCCTTGATATTTTGAGTTATATAGCTGTGGAAGAACCCTCAGAAATGTTATGAGTTTGTTTATCCCATTTGTGCCTGGCTCTTATCACAGGGAACCCAGAGCCATTTCATTTTAACGTTTCAACCACTCTGTTGGATTATGCTTGATGTCTCTGTGTGTGCTCATTTCTTTTCATTTCTGGCCCCTTCTACACAGCTGTATAAAATCAAGATGATCTGCTTTGAATTGGATTATATGGCAGTGTAGACTCAGGCCCCTTTCACACAGCTGTGTAAAATCCACAATGAACTGGATTATATGGCAGTCTGGACTCAGGGCTCTTCCACACAGCTATATAACCCAGAATATCAAGGTAGATAATCCGCAATATCTGCCTTGAACTGGGTTTTCTGAACCCACACTATCATATAACCCAGCTCAGAGCAGATAATATGGGATTTTATACAACTGTGTGGAAGGGACCTGAGTCTACACTGCCATATAGCCCAGTTCAAAGCAGATCACCTGGATTTTAGATGGCCTCAGTGCTTTCAGGGTCCTTCAACACAGCCTTATATCTCAGAATATCTGCTTTGAACTGGGTTATCTGAGTCCACACTGCCATATATTCCAGGGATTGTGGGTTTTTCTGCCTTGATATTCTGGGATATAGGGCTGTGTGGAAGTTGTTTTTTTTTTTTTCATACAACAGAGCAAGGGAATTTGGGAGTCTGGGTGGGTGGATATATCTTTTTAACCACAACAACAGCTGCCACAAACGTTCAGCAATTTTATGGGATAACCATTTGTGTCTTGTCTTTCTTTCCGAGAGCCCAGAGTAATATCATTTTAATCTCAGAAATACTCTGTTAGATTAGATTTCGTGTGTGTGGTTATTTCTCTTCATCTTCAGTAATGCAGTGAAATAGGATAGAAGGTTTGATGATGATGTCGATGATACTTTTAATTCTAATTCAGTAATATTCAGCCTTTCTTTCAAGAGTGACTGGCTAACTCACCCCCTCCCAAAATGTTTAGCTCTGGGCATTAGGCCTGGGTAACAACGCAAAAATTTGTTTCTAAAATCGATTTGTAATTGGGGTGTTTTTTTGTTTCGATATTTAAAATAATTACAAAATTTTCCCCTAAAAAAAGTTCGGTATTTACGAAATTTCGTAAATATTTACGAAACGTTTCGTTAAGATGGCGGACCCCCCGCGCATGCGCAAAATCACTTCCGAAGCTTCGTTATTGGTGCGGGGTCGATTCGTTAAGGTTATAACGAATCGATTCGTTAAAACGGCGGACGCTTTGCGCATGCGCAAAGCGACTTCCGAAACTTCGTTATTAAAAACTTCGTTATTAATAACTTCGTTATTAAATATTTTGGGT